CCAGTGGCACCTTAGGAGGTAAGCACTACACTGTATTCATTGAGTATCTGCATAAGAATTTACTCAAACATGAAAATGTACATATCACTAGCTGTCATTCTTTAAGATTATTCTGCAGGGATTGTAATTATATCATACAAGCTAATCACTGCAGGATATCAAAATCCTATGGGAACAGCTTAATAATATATAATGAGCACAGTCATATGATTCTCATGAAGATGATGGGGAATCATTACGCAGCTACTGTATGTGTTACTACTGATTGTTCACAATTAACAGCTTCAGAACACAAAGCAGAGCCTCCAATTGCACTTTACAAAGACTCTGATGAAAGCAAATCTTTCAGAGGGAAAACCAAATTATAGTGTTGTAGAGAAGCTTGAAGTAGTTTGCACATTGCTATTTTAATTTTCTATTGCCTTCGCTGATTAAAATCTGTGTGAAAGTACAAAATGTTTTTAAATGGCTTCCATAGGATACAAAAGAAAAAAAGACATAGCAATATTCAATAAAGAGTCCTCATTTAACAGAATCTTAACCACTTCAGTACCAGCATGTTCAACCCCCTTCATTACCAGGCCATTTTTGACTTTTCAGTGCTGTGATAGTTTGACTGGGAATTACTCCGTAATGCAACACTGTGCCCAAATTAATGTTATATTATTTTTTAGGTAAGATAGAGCTTTCTTTTGGTGATACTGTATTTAATATTTGTTTTACTATATAAAGGAAAAAAAGACCAAAATCAAAAAGTTTTTGACACAGTTTTTTTGGAAATGAAGAAAGATGCTGGTATTGAGGGGGTTAAAACAATGTGCTTTGGTAATGATACACTATATCTATTAAATGTACAGGTCACATACAGTGGGAGGATGGTGATGAAGGGGTTAATGTATGGATGCGCAGCATAAGGGAGGTAGTTAATATACAGATCAGAGCATAAACAGAATGGAGCTGATGTATATTATAGAGGAGAAGGGGTGAAAGGGTTTAAACATTTTTCTTAGACTTTATTATTTTGTGCTGCAACTAGATACCAAGGAATGAATGAATAATCCTCATTATCACCTGCCCCTTAAAGCAGAAATAAACTTTGTTTTGTATATCATTCCAAGTAAAATAGGATTTAATTATTACGGTAATTAATCGTGTTACAAAAGTACAGTTCCTCTTTCTGCGTACATATTTTATCTCCCGGCATTGTGCACAGCCTGTAGGCTATTTGTAGGAACATACTGCGAAAGTGAGCAAACTTCAGCAAGAGCTGGAAATTTCAGTTTTACTACAGTAACTTTGAAAGGATGTGCAAGCGCACTGTGCATTGGCATAACTGCTTGTTGTCCACTTGAAGAATGTGCCTGGCATGGGGACAATGCTGCAACTGAACTGAGTAAACATTGTCAAGCTAGAAAAGGAAGGGCCTATGTATACACCTTGTCAGGTAATTTAATTGAAAGCAGGACATAAAAAAAAATTACACTTTTGGACATTACAGCAACATGTGCAACAACCTATTTGTTGTAGGTACACTTTAAAGTGTAGTTCCACTTTTGCAGTCAAATTTGAGAAAACCCCACTATATTTTTGTTACAAGGGTGGACTGTGCTCGGGTGCAATTTCCCCCTTTAGGCCTCTCTGATGCCCTGCAGGCTGGGTTGGCGCTGCAACCGCATACGATTCCCCAGGTAGCACGGAGGCTACCATAAACAGGGCTATCAGTGATGTGGGCAGAAGCACTTTCCCATCACAGACATTAATGCAGTTTCTCCTAGTGCCTTCTACAATGCAGGGTCTGCCGGAGGCGGGGCCGCTTGCCAGTGCTCAAGCTGAGCAGCCTGTGGCTACTGAGGGCACAGAGTGGTTGAGCAGGTAGCAGGGGCATAGCGGGAGGGGGCTGTAGTCATGTATGTGCCCTCTTTTTCTCCGAGCCAGGATTTGCAGGCGGTGCAGGAGGAACTAGTGTGAGTGTTGTTCTTTTTAAATGGCCCTTAATGTCCCTGCGTTGCAGAGTCCTGATTACAGTGTGTTGCAGAGTCCAGAGTCCATTGTGTTGCATAGTCCAGAGTGTTGCAGAGTCCTGGGTCCAGTGTGTTGCAGAGACTCATTTGATTGTAGATCTGTAGACATATTGATGGCAATATCAGGACAGTATTGATTATATATCTGTGGACATGTTTATGGTGGTGTCAGGACGATAATGATTGTAGATCTGTGGAAAGGTTTCTGGTAGTATTAAGACGGTAATGATTGCATATTTTGGTACGAACTGTATCCAATATTATAAACCCCCACCCCTTCTTCAACCCTGCCCCACCCCTATGGGGGTACAGTTTATGGATATGGGGTCTCGGTTGGAAAGTGGAGGGGGTGGGTGATGGAAGCGGTACGGTTATGGAGACTCATCAGAAAAATCTTGCCCAAGGCCCAATTAATAATACAGATGGCCCTGCTGATGCCCCTTAAAAAAGCTGCACTGATCCCGTCAAAATTGCACACATGATACTGCACAGTACAAGCAGCACCGCATATATGTGATACATACATGAAAGTGGTAGGCTGGGGTGGGGATGAGGCAGATGAAGAAGGAGAGTGGGAGGGAGGTTAATTCGCTGCACCATGGGTCTCTGGGTTGTACATGCCCCCTAGGCCAAAAGTTGCCAGTCAGCCCCTGGTTTGTTATGTGGTTCCATTCACACTGCATAATGAAAAATATTTTTTAACAATATATTTCTTACCTTTTAGATGTCTCTTTGGCAAAGGCCCTAGTGCAGATTCCAGGCTACTCTGAACAGTTTGAAAGTGAAACTAGAGGACAGACTGAGCTTCCACTCCTTAACATACAATGCTTCCAAGCCTTTAAAGTGACATTAAAGTCAAAAAAATGTTTCCCTCCCCCCATGTTAATGTTAGCACTTACCTTAAATGATGTCTCTTATTCCGATCTTCTTCTTCTTTCCTAATGTTTTCATCTGTCCCTCCAGCGGTGCGGCGGCTCTCTGATCCAGCGCTGACTGCTCTGTCCCTCCGATCCAGCGGGTGCACGTGTCCATACACTTACCTTGCGTCTCTGCTCTTCTCCCGGCCGAGAATCCGAACTGCGCATTCGCCCGTCCCAAGATGCTTTGCGGCCGCCCGAACAGTTTCGTTTCTCGGGCGGGAGCGCGCAAAGAAAAAAAGGTAAGTTTAAACCGCTGTTTTAGCGGTTTTTGTTTTTTTAAAACTGTTTGCCTATATCTACTGCTTAATAGCAGTAGATATAGGCGAAAAAATGGGGGGGTTTAGAACCCCTTTAAACCTTTGTTAGAGGAGACAGTGTTCTAGGGGGGGCTAGGTAGCATTTTTAGCAAGTATAAAGCACCTAAAATGTAAGCAGGTTTCAAAAAAAAGTTATGCTATGTTAATGGTTTCGTGTGACAAACATAAAGTAGGTGTAATCCCAATTTGGCTAGAAAAGTGAAGTAAATAGGAATGCACCAAAATTTCGGCCACTGAAACAAATGGGCAAAAAAATATTTTGGCCGAAATAGCAGTGCATCCCTACTTTCTCCCTTCCCCGCTCGGCGCTGCTCTGTGTCCCCTTTGACACAGCATCCAGCGGGGAGGGTAGAAACTGTCACAGGAGGCCGAGTGGTGTCGGGGAGGAGAGTGCTGTGAGCGGTCGGTGTATCTCCTTCTGCACTGCTCAGCCTCCTGTGGCAGATTGTGACATATTAGGAGAGCGGTGGTGTGGGGGTGGAGACAGCTGTCAATGCTGTCACAGGAGGCTGAGCTCTCCTCCCGCACCCCCCTGCCCAGCCTCCTGTGACAGATAAGGAGAGTGGCGGTGTGGGGGCAGAGACAGCTGTCAGCTGTTACAGGAGGCTGGGACGGCGGTTAAGGGGAGCAGTCAGCTGTTAGTGGAGATTGAGCTCTCCTCCACGCACTGCTCGCTCAGCCTCCTGTGACAGCGAGTCAGGATGGAGAGCCGGTACAAGCACTCAGTAATCAGTGATTGCAGAGTGTTTGTAAATAATTGTGTCCCCAATTATGAATGAATGGGAAGTGATCTTCATCACTTCCTGTTCATTCATGATTGTGGACATGGTAAACATACTATTTCCACAAGTTATGAATGAACAGGAACACTCAGTATAGAGGATTCCTGTTCATTTATAACAGGGGCTGCAGAAAAAGAGATAGAGGACTCTGTGTCCTCAATCTTTTTTTCTATTTTAAAGGGAAATATCAGGGATCTGTTTAGACCGCCAATATATTCCCCGAAGCCCCCAACAGTAAAGTAAAAAAATTAAAATATTAAATACATAAAAATAAATGAAAAATAAAATATAAAAAAATGAAAAGTTTATAAAAAATTAAATAAAAAAGGTTAGAAAAAAAAAAATCGGTTTCAGCCTGACATTTTTTTTCATTCCGTTTACATTTCAGTTTTAAAATTTTCATCTCGGTGCACCTCTAAGAGTAAACCATAAAAACCAATGAGGATCCACCTTGTGGTGGTCTGTCCCCAAATCTGAGAAGATACAGCACTTAGTGCAACTGAAGTCAGATTTTGAATTCTTGGATAGAGTGAAGAGGGATTAGAACACCCTTCAGGTTTTTATTGCTGGGAAAGAAAATCCCAAATTTTGGGTTTTCATCAAAACAGGAATAGATGGGAAATCTTCCAGTGGGGACACTAGTTATGGTGACCCTGCTTACCACCAAGGATTTCCCTCACTTTGGAGGGATTTCCTCTCACTTACTGTTGTGACTATCGGACAGGATGTGAAGGTAAATTTCCCCAATGGTGAACATGGTAAATAAAAGTGACAGGGATTATAGCTCTCCCTTTACAATTTACTGAATGAGGCAAACTTTGTAGACAAGAGATATAAAGATAGATAGATAGATATTTTAGTATTTAAAGGTATTGATTTAGAACAATAGGTGACCTTTGTAGCTAACAGAGTTTTCTTTTACATACATTTCAGAGAAAGAAGTACATTTTATCTCACCAGATGGGCACATGGAATAACACAAACCCCTCTTACTTTGTCTTGTTAGGACTCACTAATGACCCTACCCTTCAGATCTTTCTTTTTGCTTTATTTTTACTCTTCTATATCATGACTCTCCTGGCTAATATTGGCATCATGGCAATCATCAAAGCAGATTCTCGGCTTCATACACCCATGTACTTTTTTATAAATAACCTTTCTTTCTTAGATCTTTGTTATTCTACTATAATAACACCAAAGACTTTAGAAACCTTCTTGTCGGTTACAAAGTCTATTACTTTCTTTGAGTGTGTCATGCAGATGTATTTGTTTGGTGCTTCAGTTAGTCTTGAGTGCTTTTTGCTAGGGATGATGGCTTATGACCGCTATATCGCCATTTGTAATCCTCTATTGTACATGACGGTTATGAACAAGATGTTCACCAGACAACTTATAGGACTTGCCTACCTTGGAGGGTATCTCAATGCAACAATTCATACTTCTTGTACTTTTCAACTGCCATTCTGCCAAAGTAATGTAATAGACCATTTCTATTGTGATGTCCCTCCTCTTCTAAAGCTATCATGTGTTGATACCACTATGAATGAACTTGTGATGTTCATCTTTGGAGGGCTTGCTGAATTTAGTTCACTCACAACTATTGTAGTATCCTATAGCTATATTATTTCTGCTATAATGAATATCCAATCCAAGCAGGGCAGGAAGAAAGCATTTTCCACCTGTACATCTCACCTAATGACAGTTAGTTTGTTCTATGGTACCATCGTTTTCATGTACATGCGACCATCCTCTAGTTACTTCATGAGTCAGGACAGAGTGGCTTCAGTATTTTACACCTTGATCATTCCTATGCTAAACCCACTGATCTATAGTTTGAGAAACAAGGAGGTAGCAAGATCGTTGATGAAAATGAGAGGAAAACACATACCACAGATATTATAGAATACAAAAGGTAGCTTCAGATGCTTACTACAATGTCAGGTTTTGCTTTTGCAGTTTTAAAACCATAATAGCCTTCATATGATATCATATAATTCACACAAAGATTTTTGGTGCACATGTCACGTTATAGCTGTAAACACAAAGTTTCAAAACTTTTAGTAAAATTTTGAAATTAAGTCTGACAGGGTTATTCACAAAAGGGTGAAGAGTTTGGAGAAGGCAGGAGAAGTGGACAATCTGGGACAACATAGCTTAACTGGAAAGTGAGCTGAATTGGAGAATTTTTCCAAATCAGTTACAGTATTTTCACTTCTCCTGCCTTTTCCAAATTCTTCACCCTTTAGTGAATAACCCTGTAAAGCTTAACTCTTCCTGTATGTAGGTGAATCTGCCTGGGTTCGATTTGCGGGGGAATTTGCCGACCCGTTTGAAATTCACGAAAGCTGAAGTCAGCAGTGCATTCCACTGAAGTCTTCCTGGGGGAAGAGGGGGAGGTGGGGAGCAATCTTGATACTAAAATTCTGGACATGTTTAAGGCTAATAGGCAAGCTATTGTCATAAAGGGAATGGGGGGCTGGGCACTGTCATATGGGTCATTTAAAAAAGCAAAACAAAATTCTAAATACTGTACAGAGGGAAGGGATCCTCTAATGCAACATCGAGAGAAAAAACACCAATCCTTTAAACTGCCTTTAAGCTGTATGCAGTGTTACAGAACAGTATGATTTTACCAGACAGTGACAGCAACACTGTATTCTGGCATCACTTGTTTAATTGATAAGCTTCACTTAAAAGAGAACTCCACCTTCATAAAAAAAATATAGCTACACAGGCCATTTTCTAATTTAATGGTATTAAAAAGCACTTTTCCATTTCAATATGTAGCCTCTATAATTTTCTAAAACAGTTATAAAAATGTAATGCAATATGGCAGGAGGTGTTCTGTACACTGTGGGTCTACAGAATGCCCCCAGAAATGTAATTTCCTGGTTGTGTGATTTTCTCAGATGTCTGCACTAAGATACGTCAAAATTTAGGTATCCCATGTAGTAGGAATTTCATTTATGATGTAATACTCCCAAAGGGTTAAATACTTTAAAGAGATGCAGACCTTGCAACTTTCCTCATCAGAAAGCTGAGTGGTTCATGTATAGGTTGTTTACCCTTTTTCCCTGAGCTTATTAAACAAGGTGAAACTTCCTGACTTCCATCATCATGAGTTTTTTCATTTTCTTTGTACAGGATTGGGTATTCTTGGTAAAGTGAATTTTCACCTTATTCTCAAATTCCTTTGCAAAGTGAAAATTCCCTTTGAAAAGTGAACAGTCTATTTGCTTTTAGTAAATCAACCGCTGAAAGTGCACCAGGTGATTATAATGAACCAGCCCCTGCCATTCAGGAAGCAATCTGGAAGGAACGTAATTAAACAAACTGCTTTTTCTTCAGATTACCCAGGGGTTTATTTTTTCTGCAAAAGGGGAATTCAAATTAAAATACAGAAGCTGCGCCCCAATCTAATTTATTTCAACTTAAAAAGTGGCTTTTGCTCATGTGTAATAACGGCACTACCCTGTGGGCCACCTTTTGCCTTGGAAAAATTACACATGTGACACATGAGCAACCCTGGCTTTTAGTAAGTCTTTCATCAGGCCAGAAGGGTTTGTGGCCACATTAGGTGGTCATACCCAGGCAATGTTTGCCTGGCAGAAATGCAGCGGCATCAGCTGCCTGCCAACCGCCTCATCTGTGATACTCCCACATGCTAAAACTTAACATTGGCTATGTTGCAGCGTGCCATGACCTCTGCAATCATGGTGCAATGACAGGCTCTGGGGAGCTGGGGTTCTTTTAACCACCTCAAAGGCTCATCATTTAGGATGCATGCAGCATTTTGGCTCCTCTTGAGGAGGCAACCAAAATGGTAAGCCACAACAAGGTGGGCAACAGTGATACAATTTCTCTCAGCCTGATGGACTGATCACTGGAGTCACAGCAATAGGGGAAAGAAGGCTTGCTGTTGGCTCAGGGACAGCAGGATCCTTTGCCTACTGCCTACATGCTTGTGAGGCAGAGAAGGAGGAGGGTTGGAGTTCTGGAACGGAGGATAAGGAGAAAATGAGAGAAGCTTTAAGGGTGACAATTCCCCCTCCCAAACTTGGGCAGTTGTCCATGGGTGAGATGAGATTGTTGAGGGCAGTGTTGTCCTCAGTGACACCAAGAACTCAGTATCCTCTGCTGTAGGCACTTTGTGGTGAATGGGTCTTTTATGCCCAAATACCTGCACAAGGACCCCAGTATTTAGGTCTTCAAAGAGAGGGACCACTATTAGGTTCCTGGCACAAGCATAAAATGGCCAATCTACTGCCATTATCGCGAGGGGAGGCCCAAAATGCACCTTATGCAGGTCCTGCATAAGAACCTCTTTGTTGCATTTCCTGATGGTGGCAGGATCCCCTCTGATGACCAACGTGCCTCTGATTCTCTGATCCCTAAAAGGAGTAGCAGTGGTGGCTGCAGCTCCCTCTGCTCAAAGAGTTACCTGAAGCTCCAGCACCCAGGCCTGGATGCAAGGGGCACTCACAGGCAGCCCCTGAACCACATGATTGTTGACTACATTGGGTCCAAGGCTGATGTGGACACTCGCAAAAGTGAAAATCAGGCTGGACTACCAGGCAAAGCTTGCACAGTAAGTGATGGAGATTCTGGTCTGCCTTGCAACCAGTGTGCTGTTTGAGAGGACATTCAGCAGAGCAGAAGCTTTTGTTACAGGGAAGTGAATCCACCTGCCCGATAATAGTGTGGACCAGCTCACATTAATTAAGATAAACCAGTCTTGGATCAATGATTACAAAACCCTGCTGGTGATGCTGCAATCTAAACTAATAATTGTCATCCAGACACCACTACTGGCCTATTTCAGTGCTATGGCATTGTAAAGGTGCTGCAGATTGTTTCCGCATTTGCCAAATTTGTAATGTTTGCTGCAGGGTAAATCCTGCCTTGTACTTTGCAGTTTGCGGTCTTTGCTCTAGTACTAAAAATACATGTGTCTATTGTCTCTCAGATAATACACTCTAGTGTTCATTGCAAGAAAAAACCCGCCACTTTGGGGAATATGTGTCTGGCACCTTTTCTCCTTTTACTGCTTCCCTGCCAGAAAAATCACCTGACCCCCTCAAACCTGAAAATAGCTTTTGAAAATAATTATCTATGCCTTCTATCCCAACATGTGTCTCTATATCTAGGCCTGTGCTTTCTGGCTTGAAAATATGATGTCAGTGGCCAAATTGATGAAGACTCAGGGTGCAAGTCTAAGGAGTCACCTTGTACTTACAAGCCCACCCAGCAAGGAATGCTGCACTAAGCTGCAGAAAAGCTCCCAGGTTGTGGCCTTCTGATACACTCTCAGGGTTATTCACAAAAGGGTGAAGAGTTTGGAGAAGGCAGGAGAAGGGAACAATCTAGGACAACATAGCTGATGTGGAAAAAGTATCCAATTCAGCTCACTTTTCAGTTCAGCTATGTTGTCCTAGATTGTTCACTTATCCTGCCTTCTCCAAACTCTTCACCCTTTTGTGAATAGCCCTGTCAGACTGAATTGAAGAGGAATGAATTGTCAAACTCAGTTTCTACATCAGGTAATTTGGGGACAGTGGCCTGTCATTGAATGACAACAAATGGGCGGAGCCGGCCATGATGTCACAGCGGTGTATTCACTTTTTTATTTTTGCTGTTTTTATATTTTGATTAAAGGACTTGCCAAAAACCTTTGTTTTGTTTGTTTCAATTAAAGGATTGTTTCTTTTACATTTTACTTTTAAACCTTAAGTGAATATTTAGGGGTACAAGTACCCCTTACTCATTCACAAGACAGACCCCCCACAACCAAAGGGTCAGGGCTTGTGGGGAAGAGGCCATTGTCCCCATCGGCACGGGGGAAAGGTGCTTTTCCAGGGAAGGACCCTGGAAAAGCACCCTCCCAATGCCCAGGGCATGTGGCCTGGTATGGTACAGGGAGGGGGGCCGGCTCGCTCGCCTCACCCCCTTTCCGGCCCTGCCAGGCCTGTGCTCAGATTAAGGGCTTGGTTAGGAGTTTTAGAGGGGACCCCACGTTTTTTCCTCCCATTTTTGGGGGAAGGGGTTTCTCCTTAAAATTCCTACCAGACCTAAAGGGCCAGGTATGATTTTTACGGGGGAACCCCACACTCTTTTTTTTTTTACTTTTAAAGTGGGGTCCCTCCTAACTTTCCTACAAAACCTGAAGGGTCACATTTACATTACATTACATTTTTTTTATTCTACTTGCTACCTCGGAGGCATTCGGCTTTTCACTCATGCCGCTTGGCCCCTATGAAAATAGGGGCAAACGGCAGCAAGTGAACTGCCTGAGGTTCCGATCTGGGTTGGCTGAGTCGAACGTGTTCTTCCCTTCGAAGTGTTCTTCACTTCTTGAACCGAAGGGAGCCGAAGCCAGCCAATGTATGGCTGTAATCAGTCATACAGGGCTGAAGTGAGTAGCCGACCGGCGTTCGGCTCACTTCACTTCAGCTATTCACTAGGCTGCCTTCGGCAACTTAGTGAATAACCCCCTAAATGTGAGATTGTAGTACATCATGGGAGCAAGCTTGGAGTAGTGACTACTTTGCAACACACACAGGGACCATGGGGAACAAAAGTAGCCACCCTCTAGAAGGAAGGACAGTGTCAGCACCATTTCAGAGATGATTTGAGGATCTACAGACGAGTGATACACAAATAAGATACATTTTTGTCATCAGTTAAGCTACTTGAGGTGATTTGTAAGATTTAACTCCTGAGTGTAGTGTTACTTTAAGCTCCAGCCCAAATCCTGCACCTGTCTAATATTCATTAGGCCACCCAACAATTTGATGGACCAGAAGTCAAGTGTGGAAGATGGGTAAATCTCAACTTTCTATCCAATAATGGAAGGTTTTAAGGACTCCCAGGACACTCAGATGGTTCTCTGAAGATTCAAGCCGACCATTTTTATGCTTGTTACACATACTTATATATGCCAACTAGATATAGTGTGAAAAGACTGTAAATAATATTTGTGGTTCTAAATTAATCCTCAGAGCAATGTTGTTATTAGGCTTCAAATGTAAAATATAATGATATCATCTGTGCAAACTCAGGGGATTTCTCACTCCCAGAGAGCTCAAGAATATATACTATATATAGCTGATATCTTAATAGTTATTGTTTATAATTTCTTATATATTTAAAACTGGTAAGAGATAAATAATAGCAGAACAAATGTATTATAGAACTGGAACCTTCTGGATAATGTGTTTATTGCACAGAAGATAATGGTGGAAACATTGTTTTGCATATTCTTAGCTAGGACTGATGCACCTTATGTTATGTTGTTAGAACGTCTATATTTCATAGTAAGTAGAAAAATATGTCAAAAGTTATTACACAACTTAAATGAAACCAATCATAAGAAAAATAACTTGGCTGCCTTTGCTGACAGTGCAACAATTCTAGATGCTCGGTTGTCATGTTGAGTCATCATTTACTAGATAGCAAGGTGAAGATTCCTAAACTGCTTGCTTGCTATGGACCAGTGACTAAGAAAATATTGAATCCAGCCAGAGGATATGCATAAAAGACAGGTAACTAACAGATAGGTCAGCAGTGGCAGCCAACATATTTTATAACATGCATTTTTTAAGAACTAAAATAGAACACAAAGGGCATGATTTACAGTAGTAGTTGAGTTGATTTGAGTAGTTGGGCTACCAAGTGTTGGGACTTTACCTACATCTCTGCAACATTTTTTATTCAGCTAATATTGTTTTAGATTATGCATGGAACTTTTTTTGTTTTTTGCACTTCATATTATTAAATAAAAAATACTTTTATGAAGACTGTTCATGAACTCAAAGATATCATTAAGATTTTATTTCAATATCAAATATATCATTAAGATTTTATTTCAATATAAAACTACATGACTTTCATGCTGATGAATGTATATTGCCAAACTTTTAAAAGTATATGTCCTTTGAGTCAAGAATGTTGCTCTGAGAGTTACTGTGGTTTGCTGTTAATATTCAGCTATTTCTATTTAGTTGATTGTCCACAGAGCCCTATTGCATCCATTAGCGAAAAGTCTAATTGATTATGTTATATGACTTCATATAAAAGGAATACCAATTTTAGAGATAACACAGTACATGCTTTTTTTTGTAAGTGCTCTTTGCTGGTAGCAGATATCTACATCTATTTATAGCATCTATGGGACATGGCATGGGTGTGATGTTTCAGTATGAAAACATAAAAGACTGATGACAGAGAAAGGCCAATAAATCCATTGAGTCTTCCTTTTTTTTTTACATTTCCTTCTGAACACAGACATATGTTTATCCCCAGCAGGTTAGTAGCTCACTACTAATAGGCTCACAAACTCGGCCTGAAGCCTGTTTGAAGCATCCACTACTCTCTGTAAAATAGTATTTTCTTATTTTACTGGTTATCTTTCTTTCTCCTATTAGGAGGTTGTGCCCCCTCTAGCCTAGAGAATGCACATGTCTCAGCAATGAAGAGGGTTTGGATTCTGAGGTTTTGGAAAGTTTCCTTTCCACTAAGCTACTAAGCTATAGATGGATCACTCTGCAAGCATGCAAACATTTGTAGAGCATTTTTATGAATGTATATCATAAAAGAAATTTTTATGATATATATCAGGGAAGAAAGCTAATGGAAATGTAATGTAAAAGATTCTCACAATGCAAAAATAGGCATAACAAAAGAAATATCTAACACTTCAAAGATGACCATGAAGCATGTAAATGATCACTTTTAAGGGTCAGTAATGCTGCCTTTCATATTAAATCTTACGAGCTCTAGTTTTTTCTCTTCCTTCTTCGCTCTTTCGCACTTCTCTGGATTCTTCTATTTGCTTACTTTACTTTTTTTCTGAGACATTAATGGTAAATTGATGGTGCTATATAAATACTTATAATAAAATAATTAATTACAAATGGGATGTATTAAACGGCATGTAAAAAAAAAACAGTAATAATTTGTAATGTGCAGAAAAGGAAAACCAACTGACATTACTTACAAAACCTTTAAATAAACATTGATGTATGCACATGATGGTTTGGAAGAATCTGTAACACGGTTCTGCGCATATCATGTGTGCAAATGCCTCATTTTTCATTATTAACAAAGAATTAAAAAAAAAAGCCTAACCTGCTGCAACTTGTCATATCTCACAGATCCGTGCAGACAGCTATGTTGTCCCCTGAGGGTCATATAATATTATGTTTGTATTTATATTTTACACCAAACATTTGATATGAATATGCAATAGACTTTCAGAAGCAAGACATGTATTTTCCAAAAAATCACACTTTTTTGGGCAGATTTGACCTATTGGGTTTAACTAATGATCACAGTCTCCAGAAGTTTCTTTTTTTACTTTTCTTACTTATATACATTCTTGCTATTGTGGGAAATACTAGCATTATAATATTATTTAAGACTGTTCCTAGTCTCCATATACCAATGTATTTTTTTCTTAGTCATTTGTCCTTTTCAGACCTCTGTTATTCTTCCATCATCACCCCCAAACTACTGGACATCTTGATTGTCGGAGACACCACTATCTTATACAGTGCATGTATGCTTCAGCTTATTTTATTTAGCATATTTGGCAGTCTAGAGTCCTTGATCTTGGGGTTAATGTCATGTGACCGCTGTGTTGCAATAAGCAGACCATTAAAATATCACCACGTTATGACAGAAGCAACTTGCAGACAATTGATAGCGAGCTGTTACACTATGGCCATTGTGACTTCTTTGTTAAATGCTCTCTATGCTTTGCAACTGACATTTTGTGGTTCAGTCAGCATTCATCATTTTTACTGTGATTACCCCCCTTTGTTAAAGATTGCCTGCTTAGACACATCTGTCAATGAAGGAGTGCTCTTAGCATCAGTCACCTGCATCAGCGGCATATCAGTTGTCACTATTATGATTTCCTATGGTTACATAATATATATTGTACTTGGAATTCGCTCTACAGAAGGAAGACGTAAAATCTTCTACACTTGCTCCTCTCACCTGGCTGTTGTCTTAATGTTTTATGGCACAATATTGTTTATGTATCTACGTCCTAGCGCCCAGTATTTTACAGATCAGGACAAAGTTGTATCGGTTTTTTATACAGTAGCAATTCCAGCACTGAACCCTGTAATCTACAGCATGAGAAATAAAGAACTCCAATCTGCTCTCAGTAAGATGACAAGGAGAATAAACCTAGTTTGGTGAACTCCTTTTGATTATTTTTTGATTTAATTGTTTGTGTGTAATGTATAGATACCAAAAATTCCAAACTGACACAAACAATACAGTACAAAACGTAGAAACAATAGAAGGGAATGTTATCAAAAATGCTTACATTCCCTAACCCAAAAATATCCCACTATATTAATAAAATATTGTGACAAAGTTGTCACACTGCCCCAGGCTGCAGTGCTTTTGAACCACCTACAAAATCCAAGAACACCTTAGCTGATGACAAACTGACCATTTTTGCTATTTTTCACTTTTTTTGTCATGAAAACAGCAACTTTGTCATCATATATGCAAAACGGGGAGAAGGAGTATCGCAAAAAGTAACACATTTATGGATTGATCTCCTGGGTTTAAAAAAAAAAAAACATACTATTGAATTACTAGTTCACTGGATAGCTCCATTTATGAGATTTCTATGTTAGGGGGATTGTGCTGTTTGAACAACTTTGTCATCACCCTCGCCACCTCCAGGGCGAAATGCTTCAGCAGATCTGTTTAGTGGGTTGAGTCCACATAAACAAGGTAGTATAGTGACATGAATTTGCAAGTTCACTTGGGAAGATGATGGATTAATGCAATCTGAGACAATTTTGTGGAAAAACAGATTTTGTTGCCAATTTGTTGCCATTGAGGCAGATGCTAGTGTGTATCTTATCCAAGCCTTTTATATTTTGGGTACGCAGGGAACTAAAATTATCTGAACTTTGCCACTCTCTGCAGCATCAAAAGAATGCATCCTTTTATTTAGCCCACAGAGTAAAAACCTTGCACTACCGATGTAGTGTTTTGGGCTTAATAGCCTATAAAGTTTAAAAGCTCTATGATAGAATTTTTCATACCAGCAAGGACACATTAAAATGCCATGGGTTCAGCATTTTTACAGTAGGGAAAATTAAGCTAGTGTTATTTCAGATGCTCTCTTTTTCACTGATGGTAAATGGTACAAATAGGCTAATGCAATTTATGCTGCAACAATAATTTTCTGTTATGACATGGCTCTTAAGGCTACTATACAGTACATTCTTCTCAACACAAACCATTTCTGCCAGTATTTTTTTTCTATGTTAACAGTGACTAGTCGACACCCTGTCTGTTATTGAACGGGGGTGGCAACAACTTAGGAAATCTATGATAAGTGAATCCTGGAGAGAAATCCAATTTAGGATCATTCACAAAGCATATCATTCTTTTAATATACCATATACTAGCCCCATCAACACATGGCTAACAGCTTGCCCCAAATGTAAACACCCCTTCCGGTAACTTCCCATTTACTTTGGTTCTGTCCCACTATACTAAACTACTGGTCTGCCATAATCGCATACATAAACTCACATTCGACTAAAACTAACACTTTATCACCGGCCTTCTGTCTATTCCATGCCCTACCCTCGGAATCATTAAATAGACCCTCCCTTCTCTCTCGTTGTGAACACTTCTGCCTCCTATCTGCTAAGAAAGCCATCTTAACAAACTGGATATCATCTGACCCCCCATCAATTCATACTTTCCATATCCACCTACACTCCCTATCTCACTTCTGAACTATCTATACAACAATTGCGAGACTTAGGGGTTGATTTACTAACCTTATAAACACGCCACGAACATGTATACACCTCTGTAGTGTGTTCCCTCCCAGCATGATCTATGGGTGGAATCTAAACACCTTTGTAGTGTGTACACACCCAGCAGGTGTGTTGTGCAAAACCAAGCATGAATTGCAAGGTGATGTTGTGTAAATTAGCTCTATGTTGTGTTGCTTGCGTTGATGAATGCAGGAATGTAAATGCATGAGCTAACCATTTTTGTCTAAACTGTGAAGCAGCATTATATATGCATCATGTGCATGATTTTTCCATATATGGCATTAGTGGAAATATGCTTTTAGAGACTTTTTGGTTGATAAATACGTTTTGCTGTGTGAAAATCACACACACCTGGTGCGTGCGTGTGTTTAGGTTAGTAAATCACCCCCTTAATGTCCATTTCTCAATATTCTTTATGGTATCTCACAACAAAATTGACAGGTTCCCTAGGTCAACTTGATGTCCTTTGACTTTCCATAGTCTTTTCCTCCTTTCTTTCTTTCTTTCTTTCTTTCTTTCTTTCTTTCTTCTATTTATCCTCTTATGGTTTCCTTTCCACTTTTTTTCTTCTTTTTCTCTCTCTTCCTCTTGACAGAGATGTCAAATCTCTGTGTATATCCGATCTGTATCACCAATGATAGTCCTATTGAAAGTCTTTATTCCATATATCCTTAGATTTGTATTTATTGATAGCTTTAACTATTAAGTTACTTGTCCTGTTGTAGTTTAAGGATCGAAGAATGTTCATTGAAACTTGGTTACGACTTTCTTCCTCATTATTCCTGAATGTATATCTAACTGATATTGTATATCTTGCTTGTTTCATTCAATAAAAAAAAACTTTCATGCTAAAAAAAAACCCAGTGACTAGTATGCTATGGTTACTATGAAGATGAGTCTTTGGAAAAGAGTCATGCTTAAGTTCTGGACCATATGTAGCACCAGCAAACACAAATGTTTTGTGTAATGCCGACATACATAATATTAATCAACCTATAAAAGGACAAGAGGTCTTTCACACAATCAAGAAGCAAAAGTGCACAACATTTGATTGAAGATCAAACAAACCCAGTGGGTTATATTTAGGCTGACCATATTTCCTTGAGTCAAAAACGGGACATTGGGATGGCAAAAAGAGAACAATTTTAATATTCCCTATTCACGAAAAAGTAAGATTATAAGAAAAGTTTTTGGACACTATGGTAGATGTGTACAGCATAAAGTTTTGGACAAAATGAATTATTATGCTGTTTCAGATTCGGAGGAAAAGAGCCTCCGAATCCGAAACTGCACATTGAAAAAACATCTTGCTGCACCCAAGAGGGTGGTGTGTCTTCTTATGTGACGTGAGATCAGAGCTGTAGCTAGCTCCTTTTTGAGCAAGAACAGGCAAGAACAAAAAAGTGCCCCCCAACAGGTGTGTGATGTCACCCAGCGCTGCGCACGCGCGGTGTCATGTGATGTCATGTGCCCAACCTCCAGGATTTTTTTTTTTTTACTGTTGGGGGGCTTCGAGGAAATATTAGGGATCTAAACAGCCTCCTGATATTTCCCTTTTAAAATAGAAAAAGAAATTGAGGACACAGAGTCCTCAATCTCTTTTTCGGCAGCATCTATTCTAAATGAATGGAAAGTACTGAGGCTTCCCATTCATTCAGAAAATATTTACTATCAAGCAGTTTCTGAATGGGAAGAAGCCTCTGTAGTGAGTGCTACTACCCATTGAGAAAGTCATGAATGAGCAGGAAGTGATGTAAAGCACTTCCTGTTCATTCATAACTGGGGAAACATAGTACTATGTAGAAGAGCTTAGAATGTAGATGTCACCAGCACACCAGCACGACAGAAGCTCATAAGTCAGTGCAAATCCATTTATTGTAGGATGCCACTCAGAATAACAATGTTATTCTGAGTGACATTTATCAATAAATGGATTTGCAGTGACTTATGAGCTTCTGTCGTGTTGGTGTGCTGGTGACATCAACATTCTAAGCTGTTTTGTGTGCGGCGCCATCCGCAGTGATTTCAAGCACCCATTTACTTTGTTTTGGGGATTTCCGATAAGGAGTGCTTCAGGATTTATGACTTTTGTGTCCCCAGTTATTTACAAACACTGGAGTGATCAGTCGATCGCTCCAGCGTTTGCTCTGCACAGAGGATCGGTACATATCATTGATATGTACCGATCCTACGCCGCTCGGCCATGAAAAAAACACAGCCTGCAGTTTTTCCTCTGGATCCCCACTGCTCTCCCTCATCTGTAGGCAGCGGGATCTGAGGAGAAGTGAAGCACTTCAGCCGGTGGAGGGGGCGGATGAGGGAGCGGCTGTCACAGCAGTATGGCTGTGCTGTTAGGAGAGAGAGCCGCCGGCTGTCAGATCCTGGCCGAGCGGCTCTCTCTCCTCACCGCTTGGCCATGCTGCTGTGACATGGGCTCCCTCCTCCGCTCCCCTTCCCCCGAGGCTGCAGGGCTTCCCTCACTTCTCTTCGGATCTCCGCTGCATACAGATGGGGGAGAGCAGCGGGCATCCAGAGGAAAAGCTGCAGGCTGTGCTCTGTGCGTGGCCGAGCGGCGGAGGATCGGTACATATCAGTGATGTACCGATCCTTTGTGCAGAGCTGTGCCGCCCAACTTCTCCCTCATGGTTGTGCCCCCCCCCCTTCCCCAACATCTGCGTGGGAGGCGAGAGCCTCAGTAGCCTCGCCCTCGCTACAGCCTTGCGTCAGATGCACCTAGATGGTGGCACCCATAGAAGGAATTACTATGATATACCAGATATACAGCGCTAATCATTCAATTAGAGGAAAATTAATCTAACTCTGGATAGTCTGGATAGTAACTGTCAGACGTCCCCCCTCCAAAGTGCGCACTCACCGCAAAATTGGATAGTCTGGATAGTTACTGTCAGAGGTCCCCCCTCCAAAGTGCGCACTCACCGCAACAGGCGTTAGTTTGATAACTCACAGTGCTGCAGCGTCTTCAGTGTACCCTGTTTGTCACAGCCAACACATTGCGGTGAGTGCGCACTTTGGAGGGGGGACGTCTGACAGTTACATGATCTCCAGCAAATCTCATTAAACCTTTCCTGGAGGTCCCACTTTATTGCACAGATTGGTGGGAGATAGGATTTGCCACAGAGACTTTTGGGTGGACTAATCACGGTGTTTACACTATTAGCACGTAAGGGTTATCCATTATTTGTGGCTAGAAGACTATGCATTTTGTTTAATGATTTATGGTTATTAAGTTTGTTTATTTTGCACTCATTTTATCGGCGTTCACTTAATGCATTTAATTCATATCAATTCAATATTTACACTCATCACTATTAATTGATACACATATATTGAGATTGTGGTATATAAGGATTGAGGGACAGGCATTATTAATAGTACCAGACCCAAATTCCTATTGACACTTAGGTTGTTGCACGAGGTTAGTATCTAATGCATAGAGCTGCCTCCACTTATTGATTGATTTCACTTATCAAGTTGTTCACAATCAGATCATGGATTTCTAGATGGAATATCAGAAAATGTATACACTCTATTAGGTTATCACAGAGTTAGATTAATTTCCCTCTAATTGAATGGTTAGCGCTTTATATCTGGTATAACATTCTTCTAGACACAGTTGTCTATATTGCAGCAGCTTTTAATTGACATCTTAGAGCATCCATTAAGCGCAGATTCAAAACTTAAAACACTAAGGAATTACTATATGCCCAAATATATAGTAATTTGGATTCGGATGAACTGCCAAATTGACAGAAATACGTTGTTTTGGCAGTTCGTCCGAATCCAAATGCACATCTAAACAATCAACAATTATTCTTCAGTGACAGAACTCATACCATGCAGTGCATACATGTAAAAATAATGAAAACATTTTTTGTCCCCCGCGCGTATTTGCGTAAACGTGTTGGGTGCGCCTACGTATGAAAAGATGATCGTGCTACACATGTTGGGTATCGCCAGGCACGCCAGAGTGAGAGCAATAATTCTAGGGCCAATATTTATGCGTATCTCTAAAATGATGGCCTGTAGGGGCTTTTAAAGCGTCATCTATGGACTTTTTGGGGTACTGAATTTTGTTGCAGTTTCATGGACGCACATAATTTTTAACCTGGGCATGTTGGGTATCTATGTATTAGTTGTAACCTCATCTTTTATATTGTATTTAAAAATGGTTATTTTATTGTGTTTTGGGGCATTTAAGTGCATGTTTTCCTGAATTTTGGGGTTTGATAAAGAGTTGCGCTGATATCGGGCAATATAAAAGCTTGCAACGGCTGCCATTTTATTCTACAGGGTCTTGGCTTTCAGAAAATATATCATGTTTGGGGGTTTGAAGTAATTTTCAGGCCTAAAATGTAGATTATAACATGGGTACAAAAAGGGAAAAAAAAGGCCACGATCATGAAGGGGTTAATATTTATATGCTCAAACCTTATTACTGTCACAGAGGGTTCTTTCTCACATATTTGGCGGGATTGTCCAAGGGTTCAACGCTTCTGATGCAGGGTGTATCAACTGCTCTATACAGTTACAGGCAAGTCTTTTCAGCTCCATTTCATAATTTGGAATTGTACAGTAATATTGTAAAATAAAGGCGCGTCCCTCCTGCTCTCCCTCCCCAGCCCTGCCCTAGGGGCCGGCTACGTGACACTCCCTGGAGGGCTAACAAAAAGATGCTGCTGAGGTAGCTAGAGAGAGGCTCTTGTCTTGAAACATCAGGAAAGGCGCTCCAGCAACATCAAGAAGTCTTATAATCACAGAAGAGTTCCCCTCCCATCTCTGGACATCATCTGCTGAAAGTTTGCTTGAAGAAGAGCCCTGCAGATTTCTCCTTTGCTTATACAACTCTGAACTCTGTCAGAACTCCTAAAACCAGGACTGTTAAGTATTCACCTATTTATTCCCTTTTATTTCACTGTGCCTCTTTTTATTAATATCTTTTTCTGTACCGTTTCTTTTATTAAAGGACAATCTTAAAATTCATTAAGCTTTTCTCTACTCTCTAAATACGAACTTAAAGCATCCTTGCCTCTGTGAAGAGCGCTACTGTATAGTGAATCCTGTCATATTCCTGTGTGAGAGGACAGCGGTATCAGAGGCATTAAGTGTTTTAAATTGTCACAGCACTTGCTGGGCACGGTCTTTGTTTCTGTTAAAAAACACATGGTGGCAGCGAACGTTTGGTGGGTAAAGGGTTAACTGTGGAGTTACCCAACCCTGGTGACGATCGCTCTCTCTGTCTGCTGGCCTGAGATTGTTGTCCTGCGAGCTGGAAAATCTCTGTGCAGGGTGAGGCTGAGAGTGGCATCGGCACGTCCTCGGGATGCCACGCTTGGTTCAAAACTGTGTATAGCCACATGTGATTGACGTACCGCAGGTTTGGTCCGGGCATACGTCAGACCAAGTACCTGGGATTTGTGCGTCCAGTTTTAATGTATGATTGTAGCATGTATTGGCACTGGTATCTGAACTGGTATCTGTGCATCCCTAGAATCCACCCTTAAGCGAAGGTTGTTTAGATGTCCCACAATGAGGATCCCCCTCAGATTGAGAACAAGCACTGGGATCAAGACCTTGGTGAACAACGTGAGGAGCAGAGGCTAGGATGAAAGGAAGGGCCACAAACTGATGTTTGTCTCAAAAGGTGAACCTGAGGAAGCTTTGGTAGCTCTGACAAACTGGAATGTGTAAGAATACATACTTAATGTTCATTAAATCCAGGAAATCTCTGTGGTGGAGACAGGTGATGGGAAAGGTGCTTCATAGATGACTTGCATTCAGGATGAGAAAGGGCCTATATGACCTTAAAAGAAACCCTCTATAACATACAAGAGAGATTTGAGGGAAAGAGGAAAAATGGGTAGAAGAGGCCCAAAATGGCGCTTTAGGTGAGGGAGCCAATGTAGATATTCCTGAGGCCACCAAACAAAACAGAGTAAATCACCATGGTAACTGTCTAACTTTGTATGACAACTGGTGCAAGCAGAGGGTGAACTCTGCGAATGAAGTTTGACCGCCAAGGAATACCCAGCACTGTTCTTGGTGTCAGCCTTGCTTCCATTTAGGCAACCTTAAGCCTTCTCATTGTGTTGAAAGTGCAAAAACAGCCCTCTAGCAATGGTGGGGTACTAATCCAGATGGCTGCTTAATAAAAGGCAGCAGTACCAGGTAATAGGCTGCTGTTCAGTTACCCCTTTTTTAGTGCTCTATATGCCACTGCTACGTTGGGTTTGGAAGGCTCTGTCAGATGTCTCCCTGGAAACCCATGACGAAAACCCACCCACCCTGCAAACCCACCTACTTTTGCAAATTTCGCAGATTTACTAGTATGTGGCTAGATCGAACAGAATGCAATGATCAAAATCTAACCTGTCTGCCATGTAGCAGAAAATAACAATTCCAAGTGCTGGAAGAAAAAAGTCCTCAGTCCCAGTCAAAAGTCTAGCTATCTTTGGCAATTATGGGGTTTGATCATTTGATGGTGCAATCCCACTCGTTGCTTTTTTGTTACATCTAGCATCCTATTCCTGTACTAAAACCCACTGGTTCTGATTAATCTTAAATCAAAGTCTGCATCTGCATTAAAAGTCCAGAAAAAAGACAAGAAAGATGTCATAAATAAATATATTATATAGATGAAAGCTGCATTTGTTCTAAATGGATCAACAAAAATGTTTTTTTTTTTTATATAAAGTTGTACATTTGTACCTTGTTACAGATTTAACCCAAAAAAATGAGCAAGGAAAATGTATGCAAATACACATGGATTAAAAATAATATTCTCATATATATTTGACAATTAATAAACTCTATTTTAAAAAGGCATTTCATAAATAACAGGAAAAAAAAGTTAATGACTTTGTAATATAACATAATGTACTGTACATTCTGTGCATTAATATATGAAAGGGATTTCTTTTTTCATTAGCTGTGACATTATTTACAACAATATTTTGCTTTAATTTTCTTTAAAGCTTGGGTAACTTCATTATTCCTCAAACTATAGATAAGTGGGTTCAACATAGGAATAACAACGCTGTAAAAGACGGAAGCAACCCTGTCCTGGCTCATGGAGTATGCAGAAGTAGGTCTTAAGTACATAAAAAGGATAGTGCTGTAAAATATGGTAACTGCCAATAAGTGAGAGGCACATGTTGAAAATGCCTTCTTCCTTCCCTCCTTGGATCGGATGCGGAGTATAGTCGATATAATGTAGCTGTAGGAGACAATAATGATACTGAGTGAACTTGACTCAATAAAGCCTCCAAATATGAACATCAGGGCTTCATTCATTGTGGTTTTGGTGCAGGATAGTTTCAGGAGAGGAGGAACATCACAGAAGAAGTGGTTAATCTTGTTGGTCTTACAAAACGGCAACTGGAAAGTACAAATTGTATGCAGTGTTGAATTGAGGTAGCCCAGAGTGTAAGCTCCAGCTACAAGCTGCATACAAATCCGTTTTGCCATTACAGAAGAATACAAGAGTGGATTACATATTGCTACATAGCGATCATAAGCCATGACACCCAATAAGAGGCATTCAGTTGAGACGGAGGCAGCAAAAAAAAACATCTGCACAGCACACTCATTATAACCAATGGCTTTTGATTTTGACAGAAAGTTGACCAATGTTTTAGGGGTTATAATTGTGGCATAGCAAAGGTCTAAGAAGGATAAATTATTAAGAAAAAAATACATTGGGGTGTGCAGCCGAGAATCCACCCAGATTGCTATAATGATGCCGATATTTCCGAAAAGAGTAACAATGTAGAAAATTAAAAAAAGGACAAAGAGAATAATTTCAAGTTTGGGATCATCTGTCAGTCCTAGTAGAATAAATTCCTTAAAGTGAGTGTTATTCCACTTTGCCATGTAAAATATTCCTAAAACAAGGAAATGTTTGTCATTCTACTATAGATTTACTGAGTGAAATACATGACTATGAAAGTAATTCTTACCTGTGACACTAACCCCAAGCATACATGATTAGTTTAATATCAGATTGAGAAGTATTACCAATGCTTAATAACACCAAGGGGGCATTATTTGTTTGTGAGTAATGTTGGATCTATCAAATGTTTTCTTTCAACAACTATTGAACAGTAATACTATCTATGTAGGGGAGATGTGCTCTTTAAGAAATCATTAGATAATTAGTTCCTTAAAAAACACAGTTCCTTGACATATTGTAAAAAATATAGTGTTCACTTAATGCTGGCAAAGTCCCCAATGACTGCTTTTGAAACATTGTAGCTTGGGCTTATCAAATCTGTATTAAAGAAATAAAAAAAAATAGGGTATATTTTCCCACCTGATAGTTTCGGTGTTTGGCTGTTTCAGAGCTGTTTTGTAGTAGATTCAGGTGATTAACAATTCTTCGGGTTCTTTAAATGTAGGGGAAGGCAAGTCTAGCATCCATAATATGGGATGTGCTAGGATCAAACGACCTGTCTATCACTGAAGGAACACAAACAAATAGGGGGTATATTATTATTACTATTCATGATTTATGTAGAATATCTGAATTACTGTAAGTGAACCCTGAACCCTGCAGGAAATAACTTCACAGTATAATTTTAAAAATAAATACATTCCCTTATGCAATGTTCAGCTTACATTAGCAGACTTAGCTAATTAGCCTGCCCTTTGAGTGCCCCATGTAAATATTCATATAAAAAATGTAAACAGCACTTCCTCCTTCCCGTCCCTAAAATGTTGGATGTTAGAAGGCCGCTGATGTCTTTTGAAGATGTGTGCAGATGGGTGTTGCCAGTCAGACTTGTACTATCTTTGATGTATAAATTGTTTATCGATACTTCCTCGGATTATTGCCCCTCCTTTCTCATCAAATGGGAAAAGGAGTTGGGCGTGTCCTTTCTTGCTCAGCAGTGGGAAATGATTCTTCGCTCACAAGTCCTCGATAGTGAATACATTTCAGTAGCAGGGTTACAAGCTAGTTTCACAGTGGTACAGGGTTCCTTCGGTGCTACATAAAATCAATGTGAGTATTCCCTCAACCTGTTGGCGATGCAGAGCCAGTACTCTACTTCATTATTTTTGATGTTGCCCTAGTCCAGTGATGGCGAACCTTGGCACTCCAGTTGTTTTGGAACTACAAGTCCCATGAGGCATTGCAAGGCTCTGACAGCCACAGACATAACTCCCAGAGGCAGATGCATGTTGGGATATGTAGTTTTGGCACAGCTGGAGTGCCAAGGTTCGCCACCACTGCCCTAGTCTATGTTCATTCTAGGTAGTGGCGAGAGATACCATTAGGCAGCTCATTTTGGTGGATCTGGAGCGGAGTCTGGTGGTCTTTCTGCGTCATATAACGTCTAATTCTATGTATAAATACAAATCCTCCCTCTCATTTCACCTGCTCAACGCTGCTAGGGCCTGGATCCCCCTCCCTGTGGAAATCACAATAAGCCACTTCTGTGTGGCTTTGGTTTTCCAAAATGAATGAGATTTGTCAAATGGAGGACTTCACTTTGACTATCCATAATACTGAGGAGTGGTTTCACAACACATGGAGACCTTGGCTTTATTTCACAACCACGGTCCCCTACTTGAGAGTCATGACTCCTAATCTCCCTCATGGATGCTCTCCAGTTCACAGAGTAGTTGGTTTGCTTGGTGTCTGGGACTCGTCTTCTTTTGTGGGACCTTACTCCACCTGGCTCTTATTATGGGTTCACTGGGTGCTAGTTCCCCTTCCTATTCCTTTGCTTTTCTTGGCCTCCCACTCCCCTCTCCTTCCACTGCGTTTCTCCCCTTTTTCTCTATCTAATGTCTTCTCCTTTCCATCTGCTCTTCTTCTCCTTTTATAATTTCTAAATGTTTTTCTTGCTAAGCTTTTTTACATTTTACTTTTTTTGAGGTTTCTGGCATATTTATGTAATTTGTACCAAGCAAGTGGTACTTCCTATGGTTTGGAATTTGTTTCATGAACAAATGCTAGTTTTTTCTCTGTCTTGGTATGCTACAGTATACAAGTCATCTCGCTTAATCCGGTTTCTCTTTCTTGTGATAATTTTAATTTGCCACATAGTCAATATGTACTGGTTTGACGCTTGTCACATTTTCCAATTTCTTCACACTTTGCAGGTTGTTTCTGGTAATAAAGGATTTAACAAAAAAATTTAACCCTCCTTTCTGGTCTCTCATCATGCCGTATTCTGACACTGAACATTTTTAGGTATACTCTAATCAAAGCCTACTGGATCTGCCAAAGACAAAAACTCCCAGGTATCGGGTGGAGCTATCACTTATCCCCCACAATTTAGTTATCTGTGCCTCTCACTTTTTGTTTTCTTTGGAATACTATTTTTTCTTTACATCAGAAATAATAGGACAATATGTATTTGTCTTTAGAATATTCTCCTAAAAGATCTGGTTAACATCTAGGTGCTTCCTGCCAAATGCGGGAATTCATATTCTTGGTGCTTAACAACGTTCTATAACGTAACCCATTTTTGACGAGTGTCAAAAATTATGTTTTAATGATAATGGGGTCAAGAACACAGGACTTTGTTAAGGCAGAACCTACAATTGTAACATTCTCCGTGATTTTCTAGATGAGTTCACACTGCCACCCCAGGAAAGATTCTGTACAGCTCTTGTTATAATTTGGTGGAATTCCAAAGTACTTTCATCATCGTATATTTTGTCACTACTTTTGCACAGAATACAAGATGGCACTAAATAACTTGATTTATTCAATACATTTCAAAATGTGAGGCACAGGTTTACTCAGTTGCCCTTGACCCAATTTTAGATGTTGGCGTAAGACCTGTAAACATTCAGGAAACCAGGAAGGAGGAAAGAGTTAATTCATTCATTGCACTGTCTATAATAATATTATTGGTCATAAAATAATAACACAAAGCATTTCTTTAATACCTGCAAGTGTAGCTAATAAAATTTGCCTTCAATGTATTAAGCTGGTATTCATAGGTGAATGTACCTAGAGACAGTAACAGCTATTTATCATTTGTGCATTTTCTGCAATTTTTGTGAATTATTATAGTGTGCAGGTTTGTGTCTCCTCAAAAAAAATTCTATTTTCTTAATAAGACTGAACTCACAAAGCCAACACATCAGGATAAGGATACATATTTTCAAAGAAAAGTGACAGGAATTTTCAGCTGGGTCCAATAAGATTTGAGAATTAAAGTCACAAGGCTAATTAAAGAGCTTTAACTATGTGTAAAAGCTTTAATAGAGCTTATATTGTAAAAAGAAAGTAATCAGTGGTTGCCTGTTTTTTTCAGTTTATTTGATAGGTGAATGTACCTCAAAGGATGTAAAATTTAAGAAATTACTTCATCTGTAAAGCTGTTCATCTGTAAAGTTTAAAAAAGTTTAACCCCTTCATGACTGAGGCCCTTTTTTCCATTTTTGCACCCATGTTATATTCAATATTTATTTATATTTACATACATATACACAGTATATATATTGTAACAGGGTGCCCGTAGGAAAAGTGATTGACGGGAGATACATTCCTCCACGGATTCTTAGATTTATGATCTAAGGTAATACCAGCAGAGATCTGGAGGTAAAGAAAAATAGCTCTTTAACCAGTATTGGTAAAACACGTCCTGGGGCTGGTTTTACTAGGAGTCTGATAGAGCTCTGGGTGGAACAGAGTCCTAATTCCGTGGGTGGTAGTTTGGTGATTACTGCACAGGTCTTCATTAGTGTGCAGCTGAAGCCAGCTGGGAGAGTGTGTGTCTCAGTGGAAAGAGAGACAGTGTGCTGACTACAGCAGGCGTCTTATGTTTGGAACCAAGCCTGTCTGCAGGACAGAAATCTGTGTACTTTTGTGTGCACACCCTAATGTAATCTGTGACCTTGCAGTAAATCTGTCACATGATCTGTCTCACTGCTACTATTTAGCATTGTTTTGCCATGCAACAGAATTGATAAATTTTCCCTTTTATGTCTGTAAAGGTAACATTTATGTGTCATGTTAAATCTGAATTACATAATACAATATTAATTGTCCCCCAAAAATGTTCACTGCATATCAATAAGTAGTATCAATGCTTTATTGATAAACTACAAATATGTAAAATCCCAAAACCACCATAAAGGCAAGACTGTATAATCACCCCCCACATATAACACATAAATCCAGTAACAAACAAATCCACTAAACTTGGTTTCAGTCAGAATATTCCAAACAGTATCCAGCTGAAAAAGGCAACTCACAATGAGCCCTTAAATATGACTTGGCTGAAATGTATATAACACATACTAAATGAATAGTGCATAAAACCACCTCTAATCACAAAAAAAATTACATGATGAATAAAACATAATATATGTGCAACACCCTACATGTACCCTACTGCATGATATTTGCTGAAAGGAATACCATAAATAGTAAAGAAAAACTTCCTAACTGGTGAAGATTAAATCAGTGGTTCTCAATCACCTTGCTGTGGCCCACTACCGGGCTTCAGCCTATCCCCTACTGGGCTGCAGCTTTCTGTCTGTTCCGACAGCTGCTGCTGTCTGTATTTTGAATAGGAAAACACAATGGCTGTAATAGCAATATGTGGCTACTAGATGGTGCTCTATATTGTTCCTATGCACACAAAATATTAGAAGCATTCTGTATAGAAAGATTTAAGTTTGCCTATTTGATTTCCAAGCATATTGGAAAGCATATTCTTTTTCGAATGCAAAGTAAATATGTGCTATGAATTATGTATATATATATACACATATACATATATATAAGATTAGATCCTCAAACAGCATATACTCGTACGTACATACTCGTACATCCATGGGTATGTATAACAGGTTTATGGAGTATACCAGCTTGTGAAACTGATTTGAAATGTTTAGGAAAAACTAAA